AGATGATAATAACGTTAGAAGTCAATCTTGAAATAAGAGAATATATTTGAATATAATATTAAACTTTTTTATCGGTAATTGATTGAAATTAATTGAATTATAATTTAATGATTTAATTCTTTCTAAACCAGATGCATAATTTATTCAGATAATTGATAGTAACGTTAGAAGTCAATCTTCAAATAAGAGAATATATTTGAATATAATATTAAACTTTTATCAGTAATTGATTGAAATTAATTGAATCATAATTTAATGATTTAATTCTTTCTCTAAACCGGATGCATAATTTATTCAGATAATTGTGTATAATACACGCGTTGTTGAAATTAAAAAAATAATTTTTTTATTAGAAATATGCATTTGAAAGTATTATGAGCAAAAGTTATACTTTTGTAAGAAAGCCTTAAAATATCTATATCTACAATTAATTTGATTTGAAAGAAGTTTTGTGTGTGTGCAATATCTAAAATAATTAAATACAATACAAGAGATCCGGGTTCGACTCTCGGCCGAGATAATATTTTTCGCAATAAGAATTAATTATTTACAGATTTTAATAGTTCATTCAACATTATTAAGATCGTTTCGAAGATGCGAATAAGCATCAAAAATTTGTTAAATTGCTAGTCAATTTAACTCGTGATATTACTGTGGTAATTTATTAGAGTTAGCGTTTCAAGACCGAAAAATCATTTCGGCGCGTGTTTCTGGGAATTACATACGTAGTATATAAATTCACACAAGAATTATACAAGCATTAAGCTAGACCGTTTAAGACTTTGATTTCTATAGTTTGTGAAAGTAGAAATTAAGAATATTTATAATACAAAAAATAAGAATTTTGATAGACAGAATATTTTTCTGCATTTTGAAACAGAAATGTTGTCCTTAATTAAATGTCTTTTTAATGATTTTGATTATTTCTTTTGATCTTAAATTGATATTTATTTCTTTCAACATTTAATGATTGATATTAATGCATGCAAAAATTTAACATGACTAAAGTCGAAACTTATCTAAGTTGTTTAATTTTGAAAATTAATTTATTTAAGTATACATAACAAAAATCAATACTAGTTTTTCAAAATAAAACAATTTAGGTACATGTTTCGACTTTATTTAGTCATCTTCAGGCAAAATTAAATATTAAAATAGAAAAAAAAATAAAAAGTTCAAGAATAAAAGTACTTCGTTTTGGAAAATAATAAAATGTAGTATAATTTATAATTACCGAAAGATGCAAAGAAACTTGCACGAACAGAAATCGCTCGATAACCAGTGACTCCCCTTAGTAGGGTAAGGGTTAAAAGTAAAATTAAATTTCATGAAATTTTTAACAGTATATTGTGTCAGTTTGACACTATATAGTGTATAGTATGAAATATAACCATTGTTTTAGTATAAAATAATGATATATTTAATAGGAACAATAGCGACTCATATTAGATTAAATTTGACACTGTATAGTATCAAATATAATATCAATTAATTCAAAGAATAAAATAAATACGAATTCTCGAAGACAGGTAAAACGAGTGTCAAAACAGTAAATTGAAGTTTTATGTCCGTCTCAAACGTCAACAAATTAATGGAAATTAATTAAGTAGTGTCAATATATTATGAATGACATTTTTAAGATATTAATTATACTAGATAGAATTAAGGATTAGAGAGCATTATTAATATAAATCATAGTGCATGGATTTCGTCATCTGTATATAAATAGTATATAAAAATGAGAGAAGGAGAGAGTATGACGACTAATTTCCATCTTTTTCATTATACCGTTGAATAGAAAGAGATTGGCTATCTTCGATGGATCTCTAGATATATCTACTTGCAGAGAAGCGCAATTTTTTGATCTGAGCCGAATGCGAACACTTTTCTATTGGTTATTTTGACCTCTATTTTTGACCTGATGATTTATCTCATTCAATAAGTAATAAATAATAAGTAAGCTTAATCAATAAGCCAATAAATAAGTAAATAAGTTTATTAATTCTTTAATATGATATAGTTATTAAATCAAACATGGCGGACCTTTGTTCTACTCTGGTACCTCTGGAGCTCTACGTCTTCGCATCCTATCTCTCTCATTTTTTTCTCATTTTTTTAGATCAATTGTTGTAAACACACGAATTACGTAGTTATGCTCTATGTCTTTCATATGAATAATAATACAATACTGAATACATGAAAAAATTCCTAAATATACACAGAAAAAAGACTATTCTTAAATCAACCATAATATACTCATATATAAGCAAAAATATTATAATCTTGCTTCAAAGGTATCAATTTTGATTTGATTAAATGTGTTTTGATGCAAGTATGACTTTGCACTTAATTCAAGACCTGCTCAATTAAATATTTTATACCAATACAAATTCAAGACTACAATTTTTAAAGCAAGATTACAATATTTTTGTTTATATATGAGTATATTATGATTGATTTAAGAATAGTTTTTTTTCTGTGTGTATAATATCAGTATTTAATTTTTTGCACACGTACTCTCTAAATCTGAATCAGTGGATAATTACTAAGTATGCCAAGTATGCCAAGTATGCCAAGTATGCCACTGATAATCAGTAAATAAAGTGTGAGATCTCTATTCAATCTTTATTATGTGATCTAACTAACTTTGTTTTAGTGTCTAAATTCAATAAATATGATATTGGAAAGATTGAAATTAACGTGCAAATATCAGTATTTTAATTATATAATGCTCAAACATTCTTCCTTTTTTTAGTTAAACTTTATTGATTATTTAATGCAAGTATGTCACTGAATAATTAGTGACTATCCACTGATTCATATTTAGAGTGTATTTATCCCTTGTACATATCTCTGTGTTGTATGTATTATCTAGCAAAAACGGATTTACATTGACAAAATTCTAAGGATTCACGGAAAACGCCATTCTTTCATGAGCTTCTACATTTTTTTATATTGTAAATGCAAAGTTTTTACGTTGATTACATCTTTTCGTTTAATATTAAATTGTATTTATTTTTTAAATGTGATTTTTTATATAAGCGTTTAAATTCATATTAACTTTATCAATAAAAAAATTAATATTGAATTGAATACTTTATTGATCCATTCGGGGTTACAATTATCAGGGTTCTGCGCGTTACCTCAAAAAAGTAACGCGTTACCGTTACCGATATTTTTTTAAAAAAGTAATTCGTTACTAATTTTAAAAAGTAATTCGTTACCGTTACCGTTACTAGAAAAGTAACGATTCGTTACTTTTTTTATAATGCTAAAGTAAGTTATTAGATTTTAAAATTACATTAGCAGATAATTAATTTAATACTAAATGTGTGAAATAAATATTCAAACTTGAAATTCTCTACTAACTAGTTTGTATACAGAGCAAGTTTTTCTCTATATTAAACTTACCTACAGTTTTACTAATTTACTTAGATAACTTTATTTTACTTAGATAATATCGTTATTTTAATGTACTAATTTTTATAAGAATTTAGATTAAACAGATAATAGATTAAATATTGTTTTTAAACGTTAATGTTCCCTGATAGAAATAAATCGATGAAATCTTTATCAATAGATCCATTTCAGTATAATTCATAATGAAATGAGTCAATTGATAGAGATTTCAGCGATTTTCAGCGATTTCAACGATTTATTTCCATCACTATTATGTGTATTTCAATATTTATTGTCGTACCAAAAATGTGAATTATATATTTTCAACATTGGCAGTGCCTATTAGAACACAGTATAAGATACTAAGTACAAAATACTTTTTAAGAAATTAAGAATAAATTATAAAATAAGAAAACAATAGGGAACTAAAGTAACGATAAAAGTAACGGCTAAATTCATTACCGTTACTGTAAAAATGTAACGACATTATCGTTACCGTTACAGACAGAAAAAAGTAACAATCGTTACTGAAAAAAGTAACGAAAATGGTAACGGCGTTAAAAGTAACGCGTTACTTTCCAACTTTGACAATTATGTACAATATTAACAATATTGACTCATACATCTATACGTAACAATCCAATCTCATACAATAAGAAAAGAAATATTTTTTTATACATTTATAAATTGAAATAATTGTTTTGAATAATGCTGGAAATAAGAATATTAATCCTAAAGAGACTTGTAAAAATGTAATCTCTTACAGTCAATGCAATTTTTTTCAAGTATAATATATCCATACAGTACATAATTTCAAGAAACGTTTTAAAGACACTCAAAGAACTTCCCTATGTTTTAAAAATATTCTAAGACGTTGTTTAGATATAAAGTATGTGTGAATCATTTTATTTAATTTACTGTTTATTACGCCTTATATAAGCGAAAATGCAAATAAAACAAACAGTTTATCACAGAGCCAAAGATCCTTATAGCATTTACATTACACACACAAATTCAATATATTAATAATATATTCAAGAATAATACTGTTGTCTGCATAACTCGAGTATCATATGATGAATTAAAACGTAATATTACACGTATGCATTAATTTTATTTCATATCGATCTTGCTACGTGATTAATATTAATACTTCGTTAAAATCTTTCGTCAATAAAGTATAATTTTACAGTGTAAATATAAAAAGGTAATAGTCACGATTATGATCTATATCGCGAGGAATATATTGATATATGGAAAGACTGATTTTTCAAATGTCTAAAAATTTAATTAAATACAGAAAATAATTTTGTCGGATAATCAAAATAATATTATGCAGACCGCTCAATCTAGTTGCTAGAATGTCAAACTTTTTTGCATCAGTGTTCGAATTTTCTACAATTTTAATGACCCAACAAAATTATTTTCAGATCCGTAAGTTAAACTTTTAGGTATTTCAGCAAATCATTCAATTACAAACTAACAATTTTCTAATATAGATCTAACTGAACTGTCTTTATAGATAAAAAATTGCGTAACTATGCGATGATAACAACAATTTGAACGCAACGCACGTATTATAAAATTATGTTAATACTTACTGTGTTAATCTTCGCGTGCTTCTGTTGTTATGAAATCCTTCCGATGAGAAACAAACGCGTGCAGAAGTTTCACTGTAAAGACGGGACTGAATTTGCGAGTATGACCATGTACCGCGATGTATTCGAAAAGAGAAGAAAGAGAAGAAAGGCTATATCGATAAAAGGATTATATCAAGGCACGAGAATGTGCGGATGTGAGTACCTCTTTCGTGAGGCACCAGTCGACAAACTGAGGCCGCACGGCCATCACGGGGCCTTATATCTCTTACGATCGAACAGCTCCATGAGCATGTCGTAGATTACGCACATTCTGTCGTGCTTTAATTATCATCCCCATGGAGAAGGAAAGGAGAATAAAGACGCTTCGTTCGTTCATGTGGTTTTGTTACTCTCCATCTCAATGATGATTCATCCAAGTTTCTCCCGAATCTTTAATCGTAGTCATATAAAAAAATACAGCGATATTTCAATGGAAATTTACGATTTGCGTACAAAGCGTAATGATAGCAATTAAATTACAATTGGTTGATCATTAATCATTTGTACTCATTTACATTTTAAAGAATATATATATAGTAATTAGATATATTTTTTATCAATTTGCGGTTTTGCGATTTATTATAAGAAAATTCCAATCGAGCTTAGAATAATACGTGTACATTTTAATTTAATGTTATTTCTTGAAACTTGTTTATTTTTAAAAGAAAATATTTTTCATAGACGTAATAGATGACTGCACATTCCGATCTTGTTATCTATGCTCTATTAGAAAGAGAATACAATATTGAAGCGTAATATATATTTATGTCTATAATATTTTTAGAAAATTCCACATTACTCAATTCAAGAGAAGATATTTTCAAAAAATTTTGTGTCGTTTATTCGAGCTGATTATGCATGAAACATTATTTTTCATGGACACTTGTAATCGTTACTCAACGTTACGGAAAAACATTTTTTTAACCGTTCCTCAACGCTTTTGTTCTACTTGGGTTAATTATTTTATTTTTGGTTTTTTTATAAATCAGAAAACTATGTTCCAATAGTTAATTATAATGCAGCATTGACAAAATACTGATAAAAAATGCTTTTATTTTTATATTCGTATTACGAGGGTCACTATTTATATTTTGAGCCTAATAATAAAAATAATAATAAAAAAACAATAATTTGTCATTTATTGTTTTTCAAAATATTCTCCTTTATGATCTATACACTTTTGCATGCGTTCGAACCACTTGTCAAAGCATTTTTTCCATTCCGCTTGAGACACCTCCAAAATATAGTCTTTGAACGCATCAACGGCTTCTTCTGCCGACGAAAATCGTTGTCCATGCAATTTATTCTTGACGTTCGGGAACAAAAAGAAGTCATTTTGTGCCAAATCAGGACTGTACGGCGGATGACCCATTAATTCGATTTTTTGAGTGCTCAAATAGTCGGTTGTTAGACGAGATGTGTGACAGTTGGCATCGTCTTGATGAAGAATGATCCGGCGGCGTTTGTTTGTTTTCCTTATTTCACTGAAGACTTCCGGCAAACAAATGATTGTGTACTATTCAGAATTGACCGTTCTACGTTCCTCTAAAGGCACTGTTGCCACATGACCAGTCTTTCCGAAAAAACAGGCGACCATTTGTTTCGAAGTGCTTCGAGCGCGAACAACTTTTGTTGGATTTAGTTCATCTTGAAACACCCATACAGTCGACTGCTGTTTAGTTTCCGGCTCATACGCATAGATCCATGATTCGTCATCTGTTACAATCTTATACACGTCTTTTGAAGCACCGCCATTGTATTTCTTAAGCATTTGTTTGCACCAATCGACACGAGCATCTTTTTCAGATTTTGTCAGATTATGTGGGATCCAACGAGAACAAAAACCTTTTTCACGGCTAAATGATTATGCAATATTTCATATATGCTGGTGGAACTAATGCCCAAGGTTGTCTCAATCTCACAGTATGTCACATGACGATCTTGCATTATTAGTTTTTGCACAGCATCAATGTTTTCTGACACAACAACTGATTTTGGACGACCTTCACGACTTTCGTCGGTGAGCGAACGGCGACCACGATTAAATTCGTTATACCAGCGTTTCACAGTGGCAAAGGATGGGGCTTTATCGCCAAAAGTGGAAGTAAGTTGATCGATGCACTCCTGTCTTGATAATCCACGTCGAAAGTCGTAATAAATCATTGCACGAAAATTTTCACGAGTTAATTCCATTTTTTCGCTGAGACACAATTTTCAAGTGACTGTAAACAATACAAATCGCGCTCAAATAACAAAACGTTCTGAAGAAAGTTATGGTTAAAAATGTCAAACTTTCTAGTGGAAACGTCCGATGGCACCTGACAACACTCAGTGTTGCCAAGGCTCACAATATAAGTAGTGCCCCTCGTATTGATAATTTCTGAAAATGTTAAATTATAGTTTCGATATATTAATTTTTTAAATGTATAATATTGACATGAAAGATATCTTTTAATATTTAATTAAAAATTATTTTAAAAAATTAATTTTTATTAGTCTCGCGGGGTAACCACAGCTCCAGGTTAATTTGTTTAACAGTATATATATTTTCATGTGACTAACTAAAGGTTAAGTTAAACATATACTTTGTTTTATGTGTAAAAACTGGTAAACCAAAATTAAATAATAAATTGAATAAATTAAATAAATTAAATTAATCTAATTACTTTTGAATAAATTGTTTTGTATTTACGCAATAATACTTGATTTTAGTGATTTTTATTGAAAACAGGTCAAGATACGCATACAATACGTTTTACTGACAATGAGTTTAGTTGATTTCCTTATTTTTTATTCTTTACGATTGCTATTAATGATCTTTCGTAAAGATTGTATCAATGTACGATATATCCTTTACGTGCTGTTAATAAAGAGTATCGAGTGACATTGAATGTGTCCTATTGTGATTTATGTAATATTTATACGCATTCAATCACGTATTTAAATTAGAATGACTGAACTTTAAATACTAATTATATTTAAATACAATTTCCTTTTGCGTTTAATGTTTACACAATGTGTAGACGTATATAAAACGTTCACACACACACATATCGTATATTGTATATTGTAATTTTTAACGTCATTTAATCATTGACGCATTTATATGATTGACTTTTGATTTCCATTTATCATATGTTATTTTTTTCGCAGTCGTACATATAACTTAATTATATCCACGTTTTAAGCTGGATTTATAGAGCATACTGAACGCAGGTCGCAGGTCGCAAGATTAGATGTGGTCTACGTGAAAATATGTCATGATCTGTGCGAAATATTTCCGGTTGCAAGATGCAGATCGCAAGATGCAAGAAGCAGGACGCGAAAGTTGAAGTTCACTCAACTTTGTGCGACCTGCGATTTGCATATTATGTCAATTGTATCAAGAATACAATAAGTCACGGGTACGAGTACAAAAAATAACATGCTAAATGGAAATCGAAAGTCATCATACAAATGTATCAATGATTAAGCTGTAGTCCACCTTGATAAAAGACGTCTTTGTGGCAAAGGGAATTGTCACTGTTTTTAATATTTTTTATTTACTATAATTTTAAACAAAATATTAAAAAAAATATTTCTTTTTTAATATCTTTAGAGAAGGCATAATTTTTTATACTTAGTGCTATATTGAATATGTAACTTTTTTCCTAAAAGACAGAAATGTAAAAAGTGACAATTTTTTCCATTCAAGTTAATAGAAAAATTTTCGAGGAGGTAACCAATATTTAAAATATTGTCCCACAGATTTCATACGATTTCATGTAATGAAAAATAATTTTCTTCACTATATATGAAGTTATTTGGTAAAATAAATAAAAAAAAATTATATAATATCAGATAAACGATTTTATTATACAATTATTCTTTGTATAGTTGCATATGTAATTATCGGATTATACATAGGGATTTCATATAAATTTTATAATAATTTCAGGAATTCTCTATTCTACGATTACATTAAGTAGTTACCCCCTCGGAAATTTTTCTTTTTTCACGTTTCGGTGCTAGAAAAATATGATCCCGATGTTAAAATGATTTGATGTGGATTCGTATATGCTGAAAGATTTTTGTAGCACCGAAAAATAAACAATTATTTGGTCCAATCAATGATTTCAGATTTTATAATAGGATATCTATAAATTGATATGAATACAGTACACACATGTTGAAAGAAATTAAATGTAACAAAAAAATTAACGTACTGAATTGGTGTTAAAAATGGAGGATTAATTTTTAAAACTTATTTGAGGTGTCTATTTGTTAACGCTCCTTTGCAATGCGCAAGTAGCACACCTGTTTGAGGTGATCCAGACTTTAGATTATGATTATATTACATTAAAACAATGTATGTATTTTTTTCTCATTGTAAATGTTATCTTGGTGTGAATTATTAGTATATAGAGAAAGGTCACCAATATCCAGATACCATCTTGCTTTTAGGTAATATTTCTCAAAAGATAAAAATAAAACTTTAGCGATATAAATATACAAACTACAAAGTGTCTACTATTAGATAATATAGCAGTTTTTATAATACTATTTGCAATTTTTCAATAATTAATTTTTTCGTAAAAGAAGCCTAAATGAGCGTTCGACAAAATGGATCTCAAACTGACACGTGTAGGTAATGCCACATAAGTATTCCTATTCTTTCCCTCTTTTACAAAGGTCATCTATATAAAATACTTGCAAGTTGAATATATATAAGATTTTCTAGAATTTTTTTTTACTTCGATATAAAACGTTTTTTGTTGACTTATATTCATACTTTATATGCTGTTCTACAAGGCGCAAACATGTAACGCGATAGTTCCTTTTTTTTAAGGTTTTTTTTATAAATATCTGATTGCTTTCAGTTTCGACAGGACTATAATATTTGATACTATAACACAACATTATAAAAATTATACTTATATGCTCTATTCATAGCAGATTCTTATATTTAAGATTGACTTAAGAGTGTGCCGATTTACGCTGCACCTCTATTTTACATTCAAAATCACACAGTATAAATAAAATAAAAAAAATATATAAATAAAACTGATTTAGGAAATTATAAACATTAAAGATGTGCGAGGATCCTAAAATATCTGGAATCCGATGATCAGGACGGGTCGGAAAGACATCGAGTCGAGTCGAGTTCATCGAAAATTTCGAGATTCTCGAAAGTATCGGGATTCTCGAAAATATTCGGGATTCTCGACGGA